AGGTTAAAGTCAAGTATCAATTAAGTGATAGATAGTTGATAAGTAATATTTCTAGTACTTCCATCCCGGCGCTAGAAAGTTCGCTACCGCTCTTGAGGTCGGAGGACCCCAATTCTCAACCAATGGTTGGATCAGTTGCAAGCAGCTCTGAAATGGAAGAGCTTGAGCAAGAATTTAAGGTGACAACGCTGGCTCACCCCACTATTTTTTCGATTGAAAAAAAAGTCATTTTAGGATTCTCTACCTTTTTTGAAAGAGTCATTACCGTTAATCCGTGAATCACTGCCACTCATTCGCGAGTCTCTTCCGCTTATCCGCCATATAATCGATCCTATTTATTACAAAGATGACAAAACTACCTGCCAGCGAAAGGCAACATGCAAAAGTAAGACATTGATTCAGAACTTAAAACAAATACCATACTTCAACATGGTCGCTACAAAAATGGTTAAGTTCGACTAGTAGTGCTATCGTGTTGCTCTGCAGCATTTAGCTATAGCCACTCTCAGTGCACATGCGTGGATGCGTATCCCATGCAGGTCTTGCTCCTATCAGTCAGACCTACGTCATATCATTATCAAAACCTTTTTCCTAGTCTCACTTCAAAGAAAAAGATGTTGTTCTAGCATATAGTAATGATAGGTCTTTCACCTCATATCTTGTCTGATGAAAAAGGGAAACAAAAAATTAAAGCCTTGAAAGCAGGGCTTATAAAATAATAAAGCAACATTGCTAGTTGTACATCTACAAATAATTAAACACAGGTACACAATAATTCTCGCATTTGCAACAGGTTGCCGGGAATGCCCAAAACTGCGTGAAGCTGTAGCCAATGTTGTAGAAGCAATATGTCCAAACACATGTCGCGCTTGCAGCACTGGTAATAATGGTACCTTCTACTACTTTTTATTATGGAAAACAATTTCAGTACAAGTGCCAAGGATTGCCGCTGCCACTCTTGTGGAGTTCTACCTATGAAGATATTCAGAGTGTTGCACGTTGTTTTGAATAAATATTGCTTGAAAGTTATATATCAGAGGTCATTCAATTCGCTCAGTAATGAGGAAGACATAGGAGCGTCAGTTACTTGTTTGTCTGGAAAGTCGTGCAAGTTTTATTTCAACCATCATTCTTTTCCTCTTTTTTACTAGATACTCCATACCGAGGTATCTGAAGGTTCACGTGGTAAGCAACACTAGCATCTTAAAAACATAACGTAAGGTAGCGCATCAGATTGATATTTTGAGCCTTTAAGTTGACAACAGCCTTCGACCAATTAATAAATTGTCACAAAGCAAGGACCTATTGTTGACACCAGGTTTAGTATATATATATTAAATACTGAAAACATAATTGCATAGAAAGGCCAATTTCAAATAGT